CTTTCTCCATGGCATTCTTCAAGAAGAGGTGTATATGACACAACCACCCGGGTTTAGTGATCCTTACTATCCTGCACATGTTTGCCGACTACACAAGTCTTTGTATGGGTTAAAACAAGCCCCAAGGGCATGGAATGACAGGTTTACCTTATTTCTTCCTTCTCTGGGATTCCTTTCCACATATTCTGATCCCTCATTGTTTGTTAAACATGTTGGCAAGTCTGTGGTTATCCTACTCCTTTATGTTGATGATATCCTCATCACAGGTAGTGATTCAGCTGCTATTGATATCACTATTCGGGCTTTGACCAAAGAATTTGATATTAAAGATCTTGGTGCTCTCCATTATTTTCTTGGGATTCAGATCACACAGACTTCTAGTGGGATGTTTTTGTCTCAGTCTAAATATGTGGCAGATTTGTTGGGAAAAGCAAATATGGTTCATTCTAAACCGTGCACTACTCCTTGCTTACCATATAACAGATTGGTAAAAGATGATGGACATCCTTTCAATAATCCATCTTTATATAGAAGCATTGTAGGTGCTCTGCAATACCTTACTTTTACCAGACCTGATATCGCATTCTCTGTTCATCAAGTTTGTCAATTTATGCATTGCCCTATGGACTCACACTATGCTGTGAAACAAATTCTCCGGTATTTGCAAGGTACTATTGATTTTGGTATTCAGTTTAGCAAAGGGGATTTGGATCTTCATGCTTTTAGCGATGCAGACTGGGCAGGTGACCCAAATGACCGTAGATCTACAACAGGATTGGTTGTGTATATCGGACCAAATCCTATTTCTTGGTCATCCAAGAAACAAAACACAGTCTCTCGATCATCTACAGAGGCTGAATATCGAGCACTCTCAAGTACTGCTGCTGAAATCGATTGGATCACACAATTACTTCAGTTTATGCAGATTGAGGTTTCTGGTCCAACAACTTTATTCTGTGACAATCTTTCTACCATTGCTCTTGCTTACAATCCTGTCATGCATCATCGCACTAAACATATTGAAGTCGATGTCCACTTCATCCGAGAGAGAGTTGCCAAGAAGCTACTACAAGTGCAATTCGTTTCATCCAATGACCAATTTGCCGATATTCTTACAAAGGGACTCTCTACTCATTTGTTCCGCACACATTGCTACAATCTCAGAGTTGGAAAGCCTCACTCTGAGATTGAGGGAGGATGTTAGATATAGTGTGTAAGGTAGTTAAGTTGGTTAGCATATCATGAACTTAGATTGTGACAAGTGTCAACATCTTGTGAGCTTTATCTTAGCTTAGTAGTTAAGCTAAGATAGTTAGACATATATACATTTGTGTAAGTGTAATATGATATATTGAAGAAAATACAATACAAACATATACTTTCTCTCTCTAAACAACCTTTCTTATTCTTTGAGATAGTTCTTCATTTCTCTGTTTACAAATTATATAGACACAAAAAACTAAAAACTAAATTTGAACGAAAGGGATTGCTGTTCTCCATGACACATGTTTAGGTGTTTAATCCAAACCAACATGAAACATCATTTGAAAATTTGTAAAAGGTCAACGATCGAGAAAGGACATACTTGCGTTCGTAGATGCTGCATTTTCTAGTAGCTAGGCCACCAAAGTGGTTAGGTTGGTCCTTGGACACAAAGGTACTGTTTGGTACGCAGGCAGGATGAAACGGGACAAACCGAGACAGAGCAGGACGGAATGAAACGGAGGTTCTATGCTACGTTTGGTGTACGCTCAGGCCGGAATGGAATGAAGGATTAAATGACAATCGTACCCATCCACTCCGACGAGTTCAACCTTACCCGAGCCACCGCCGACGAGCTCAACGTCATCCCTCACATCTTCCGCCTAATCCTCGCCATCCCAACCCTCAAGCGACGGCGTCGGCCACATCTTGAGAGTGGGTGGTCTTGAGGTTTTCACGACGAAGGGCGATGGTCTTGTTGTGGGACTAGCAAGGAGGATGGAGGCGGTAGAAGGAATGTGGGGTTGGGTTCAGATGGGTTTACTGGGATTGGGTTTGCCTGGGTTGCTGGGTTTGTGGTGGAGGAGGAGGCTACAAGAGAGAGGGAGGGTAGAAGAGAGGGAGGCTACGGGAGAAAGGGTATATAGTGAAATTAATGAAAAAGAAGAGGTGTATTGTTGTCCAAAAAGTTATAATTTTGTGTTCCATGAGCTAGAACAAGTCGTTCCAGGGGGAGGGTGGCACACAAAATTAACTAAAATTTGTTTCACGGGACAAAATATCACAAGTAAATTCGCGCACCAAACGTGAAACGAGTGCGTTCTGTCTCATCCCACGTACCAAAATGTACCAAGATGCATGAGTCGACCACTCACTGTCAAGGTAGTTAGCTAATATAATATTATAATTAAATTGAATCCATGGAAATCAATGCTCTCCGGTTGCCTAGCCGACAATCCAAATTATTTACAAAAATACAAAAGGCTTCCCCTGCAGTACTACTGCAAACCCGGAAATTAACAAGTTCAGTACTACATAATTATATGTATATATATACACTTGAACATCTAAAACACAAGCTATAACTTTCCTCTAAAATCTAAGCCCTCGGAGCCCTTTCATTTGTCTCCTAATCTGTGTGTGTTGCCGGAAAAAATGGAAGCAGAATATGAGTACAAGAAGGGGTTATGGACAAAGGAGGAGGATGAGATTCTCCTGGACTACATAAGGGTACATGGAAGAGGCCGCTGGAACCGCATTCCCAAGGTCACCGGTAAGAGCTATCAGTGGTATATCTATCTATATATATGCTGCACAAATCTATAGTACTAGTGTATAAATATGCAATATATGCACTTAAATTCTTTTTTATTCCTAAAAATTATAGTACTGATTTAGTTATATACGTAGGCTTAAGGAGGAGCGGTAAGAGCTGCAGGTTGAGGTGGCTCAACCATCTCAGCCCAAATGTGAAGCGCGGGGATTTTTCTGAGGAAGAAGAAGACCTCATTATCAGACTTCACAATCTCCTTGGAAACAGGTTATCTCTATATCCTTCCTTCATTTCATCTTCTTTTTCCTCTTTCCACACACGCGCGCGGGCGCGCACACACACACACACATATATATATATATATATATATATATTGCAATTTACGTACTCAGGCAATATATAGAAACATAATACACGACACACACACACGAAACCCCTTCTGAAGGGGATCGCGCTCTACTATTGATAGCTAATGCTCTTGTGTTTGACGTGTTCGTGACCATGTATAATAGCCTTGTTATAATGTTGAGCCAGAAAATAAGGCAAAGTCACTAAACGCTAAACATTCATTATATATATACTCGCTACTTGGTCACGAAACAGTCAAATAGGAGAGTTCTACTTTATCTCGCTCCATAAACAGTGAAGCGAGATCCCCTTCTGTTTTGGAGTACTGGTAAGACCAATAATTGAAATATATATGGGTAAATATAAGTTAACTCCGTGATGGATACACGCATAACACTACTCGTTTTATTCTTATTAAAGTTGTTAATTAATCACTGATTATCCTGTTTAATTTGCGCCAAGGTGGTCTCTGATTGCGGGGCGTGTACCAGGAAGAACCGACAACCAAGTAAAGAACTACTGGAACACTCATTTGTACAAAAAGCTTAACGCCATAAAAAAGCAGCAGACATCTGGAAAAGTTGCTGTTGTTTCGACGTCGAAAACAACTACTCACAGCTCTTCTGCTGCTCAAGAACTGGCAGGAGACAAACTAGTACACCAACACAAAATGCTCAAGGCGCCGGACTCGGACTCAAATTCCGTCACGAAGAGTAATGATCAAAACCCAAATATGGATATTGTTGCAGCTGAGGATTCTAATGCAGAAGAAGAAGAGATAGAATGGATGGCCAAGCATTGTACTGAGTTGCTTTCTTGTTCTAGTTATGGCAATATGATTAGCTGGGACACGGTGGAATTTCTACAAGGATACCCTCTTGACCTGTTGTAGTTAAAATTCTAACTTGTTCTGGTTGTTCTGGTTGATCATAAGTTTGAGTTGATAAATGATTTGTTTATGATCAATAATAATCTTCACTTATCTGAATTATGTGCCATGAAAAAGTAAGATGTGATTTAATTAGCATTATAAGCAACACATAAATTGGATTTAATCTAAATTTAAAATTTGCATACTAATTATATATTTGTGTATATATAAATAAATGGAGTTTTAACGAAACACTCATGATACTGTTCACTTTTAACAAAGAATGATATTTTTACTCTAAAAAGTTACTCCTAGTACTATTTACTTATAACATTTTTTGTTTTTTGATTAAAACTCAAAATTTTCAAATAATTTTCGATAATTTTCCTATTAATAAATACATGAAGAAAAAAGGGAACTCGGAACTTCGGCTGCATAGATCAACTTTTGAACTCATAATCTAATGTACTGTCTGTCAAAAAAAACACGAGTTGCGCTAGCTTGTGATGATAAATAAAACAATCTGGGAAATAGACAGCCCTTAGAATCTGGTACCTTCCATTACAATAAGTTATTTGTGGTTTGGATTTTGGTTTTTGGGGCAGTGAACCATTGACTCGACCTTAAGGGTCCTGCTTGGACTAGTTTTGGGTTGTCCACGTGCCATATGCACCGACGTTTTCGGGTTTAAATATTTTTGCTTGCATTAAAATTATATCAAGAGAAGCTATTGTGTTTGTTTTGGGCTTATGGTCACCAAATCACCACGGTTTCCAACGAATCGCAAAATGTAGGTTGTAGAGTTGGGTTTCAAGTGTGATTTCCATTGGGTTTGGATCCACTTTTCAAATAGATTTTGTGGTTAAAGCTTGGGTTTTTGGGAGGTAAGTTCAAAGGTTCGTCCATCGGATCACGTGATTGTGCAGCTACACGCATAAAAATGATTCAGTATATTGTTTTCTCTCTAGACCCTGTCCATGATACCACTTGATTTTCCGGTTGGATTTAAGTGTTGGTGACAAGAAGTTTGCATTGAATCTTGTACAATCTCAACGGCATGTTTACTTACATGATTTGAGCATCGGTATTGAAAGGAGAACTTTTGACATAGTGCAAAAAAGATACTGATTCACCAAAACTATACTTATTTCAACATCAGACAAGCCACAAAGACTATTATTTTGCCAAATGTTGTTCCAGAGAAGATGCACTGTGACGAAATTCATTTAAGAAACGAAAGGAAGGTTTGTGCTTTCTGGACAAAGTTTGGTCTCATACGGTTAAATTTGGTGTAATTTTGAAATCAAGATCCCAAAGCTGGAAGCTGCCCTTGACGAAATCGTAGTATCCGCCTTTCAGACTCAGAGTCTTGTTCACCAGCGCTTCTCTAACAAATGGATATGTCAATAAATTTGCCAATGACACATTCACAGACTCCTGCATTGTGATCACAAACTTTTAGAACACAAGAGGGTCGAACTTAGAAGAATCTGAATTAATTTGTTAGTCCAATCGTTATAATAATATGTTATGCTTAGAACAAAATACTAACTAATATTTAATCTATACAATTATGTGTCTATCTTCTCTCATCACATAGTTAGTGTGATGATAGAGATAGACACATGATTGTATACAACTGGTGATATGCATAGGAGATTTTCGACTATGTTCGACTATGTTATACAACACATGGCCAAATAACAACTTTAAACAAACAATCACCGTTGGTTTTCATTTTAACTTTTAGGAAGCATTAAGACCATGATCTTCTCTAAGAAGAGCTATGATTTCCAGTTTTTACTTTAATTTAGGCAACGAAAAGTTACCTTCTCCAAGTTGGTGCACTGCTCTGTGAAACTTAAACCGCTGCATGCTGCTTTGATCTTGGTCTTTGCCGGTGCGCAGATTTTCACCCAGCTCTCTATGAAGTCACTGAAAATTCAACGCGCACATGGAACACTGTTAATGCATGATAGAATCATTTTTACTACCAGTTAACTGGATGAGAAAGTACTGGTTTCAGAATGGCATTGTTAAAAGTAGTAAAACTGTAAAAGCCGATTGCCTTGTGTAGTTGTGTCAGCATATGCATATGATTAAAGGAATGAATATTAAAAAGAGTAGTAAATTTTGAGCTGCACGGACAGTACTGAAAGTTACAAAGAATTTCAAAGATAAATTGAAAAAAAAAAAAGCAAAGAATCTGAAGCTTTCATAAGCACTTTCATTGTCCTTCTACTTGTAGCTTTATCCAACTTTTTGGATGCCACCAAGAACAATGGTACAACAGTCTCTATAGAATAAAGTCCTTCATATTCGTTTCCTATTGAGTAGGACATGACACAAAACAAATATTATACCAAATAGCAAATAGCAGCAACACCACATGGGAACTGGGATGGAGAAGGCAACAATTTTGGGAGTTCAAAAGCCAAAACTGTTAGAAAATAAGTCTTTCTGCATATATCCTTGATTATTTTTAATTAAAATATTTGTACTAAAATTATTGTACTTAGAGGAACTATTCAACTTTTGAACCAAATTAAATCAGAAAGATGCAAAGTGTGTTGCTATGATAAACGAAGGCTTACCTAGCAGTGGACCCATCATCAGGGATAGACATGAGCCCCTTTATACCTCCACAGCAGCTGTGTCCAATCACCAAAATATTTTCCACCTGAGGACATGCACTCTCTCTTCGTTTAGTACAAACGAAATTTCTACTTTAAGCTAGATTAAGAAAATAAAAAATGATTTAAACGTGATATACAACAGAATGAAAATAATACTCTATCCATGAGAGCAAAATACCACTTACAAAACGCACTCTCTTTCGATTAAGCTTTTAACCACATTTCCAAAAAGGGTTTAATAATAAATATCCATTCTGCTTCTAAATCTTCAAACGTCTGAAGCTTTTTCTTTCTGTCCCTTTTATATTGGAGGGGAAACATGATAAGGTGTGCAAGGAAGCGAACAAAGCCAATGACTAGGTCACCATTATTGATTGAATCACAGAATAAAATAGAAAAAGTAGAATATGAAAATAGTGGTTCCGGACTTCCAGTCAGTGTAAAAGCAAAGTTGAAAATGGAAAGAAGTGGTCGTTTTATATTCACCTTCAGATGCAATACCGCATATTCAATGGCCGCCCCCACTCCCGAGTACTTTGTCTGCACCACCAGGTACCAAACCCATTAGGTCAATCACAATACACGCATAAAATAATAAGATGCCAGCAAATTCAGCAAAAAATAACTAATGGTTGATGGACCATGTTGCATTTTATATGGTTTTGAAGCAGATTTCATCATTCATTTGGGTTGAGTCAATCACAAATCAATGCGCGATTGTCGCAAAGGTTAAGCATTATTAATTACACTTAATTGTTCATGTCCTTAATTTCTTATATGTAAAAAATCATTTCTATTGATAAATAAATAACATTTGTGATGTGTGTTCAAGTACTTTCTATTTTATTTTTTGATTTTGTGATAAGTTATAAAAAAAAAAAATGCAAGTGTTGAATTGATAGATTAGTAAAAAACTGGGTTTTGGTAGGCGAACCAGGTCAAATGGAGGAACCATGTTGGCGATGTTTCGGACCACAAAGGCCTCCCCTGGTTGGAAATTGAGGATGTGCGATGGGCAAACTCGAGAGTCCGAGCATGCAAATACCATGAACTGCATTTTCACAATACAACCTAATTATTTAGCTCAATAATTTAACAGATTTATTTGAGACATAATTATATATATATATATATGTATGTATTGTATATGATTAAATTATAGCTCAATCAACCAGTTCATCACTTACCTTGGGGCTTTGGCCTGTGGCCAGTTTGTTGTACAGATCAACATCTTTCCTGAAGAGAACAGCAGAGTTCAGGTCCCTCTCATCCAGGGATTAAAGCACAAGGGTATTTTGGTAAATTCGATATGGATAAAGAAGGAAAGAGGGGAATTTGGCCAACATTCGAAGAACATTGCTTACTCGAATTTCTCCTTCTTGAATTGGATGAACCCGGTTTTGATCCTCTGGACAGGGTCGCTCGAACCGGCCGAAGCCAGCTCAGCCGTTATCTCCCTGATCTTGGCGGCGGCGACGCCCTCGAGGTCGGCTTTTTCACTGTCAGCAGGGTAAGGGAAATGCAAGAGTGTGACCATCAAAAGCCGTCAGATAAAACCAAGGACAAAAAAGGGGACCCACGGGGTGACAGAGGGGCTGATCCAACGTCACTCCGAATGGGCCCCACGTGGAGGCAACTACGAGAGCCTGGTAGGCTGAAACGGAAACGCGTCCGAGACGGATATGTGACGGAAACGGAAACAACCAAAATGACAGAGAAGGACAGCTATGTTCGGGATAATTACAGAAAATGACATTACAGATCGTGTAACTTGATCGTCCGGTGTTTGTCCGGACGAGGAAGAAGTACCTTAGGAGCTTGGAAAGTCCGGCAATGGCATCCTCGTACGAGTCCTTCGTCATGTCTTCCTTCTGTAAATTCCCCAAAAAAATCCAACCAAAAAAAAAAACAAAGGCAGTTTCACAATTCTGAAGAGAAAGTTATTGAAATAAAACCATGCGGATTCGAAATTTAAAAAAAAAAATCGGTTCATTTCTTCAATGAATGGAAGAATTAACATCTCGAAATTTGCATGATTGTGATCGACGTACGAGTAATTGAAGAAATTAAGGAGGAGGAGAAGGGCGTGTACGGACCTGCGAATCTGGCGTTTGGGAAAATTGAGAGATTGAATTTTGAGCTAAGGAGCTAAGATTTGAGGAGGAGGAGGAGGAGGAGGAGGAGGAAAGGGAGGAGGGAGGAGTGTCTGTCAGTCACCAGAAGTTGGGCACTACTCACGGAAGTTATGCTGGATTGGTATTTATAAAATAAATGTTGACGTTCGGCAAAATTTAATACCCTCTAAAGTTTTGACTCATATGGAAATTCATGTAATTTTATTTATAATTTTGGGATTAAGTGGGGATATGTAGGGGAGATTTTTCATTGTAGGGAACACAAGCTGATACGTCATATAGTATTACACAAGTGAATTTTTTTTTTTAAATGTTCTTTAACTTATATAATGACATACGTAATATACGTATGTATTTGTGTTTCGAACAACTAAAAACTCTCACAGTAGGCACAATATTAGAAAATGGAGAGTAAAAGGAGGGGGAAGGCGATGTCAAGTGTTTCTTTTGTACATGGTAAATTGCCTATTTGGTTAAAAAAACGACAATTACGACTTATGTAGGTAAATGATGCCGTGTGGTTGGGTGTAGATTTGGTGACATGGTAAAGAGGCTGATAAGAAAACACAAAGGGAAATACAACGCCCGTTCTTAGTGGAAGGGAGGAAGAGGTTTGTGGGGGTTATAACAAGTCAACTAAAGACTACAAGTAGGTAGGCGCCACGTGGTGGGTAGAAGCAATCGTTTTTGGATAATACTCTGTCTAATAATATTCTAACACATATTTATTATTTAAAAAATAATGATTATGTAATTACTTTTTTTAGATCTAAAAAAAACAAAAAACATGTGATATTTATTTTATTAGGCTAAATTTAAAAATGAATACGTATATCCATTAGTGAGTGCATAAAGTACTCACTAATGACTACCTATACATTATTTATTTCAAATTTTAGTTGGAAGCCTTCCGTTGTATGAACGGTTGAAATTTGAAATTAAATTGTCGCATGTGCAACATAAATAGATTATATATATATATATATATATATTGTCAGAATATTATCTTCTTCTTTCATCGTCTTCCTGAAGAAAGACATTTTCGGTTTTGATTAGGAGTGATGGCCACCTCTAATGAGAGTGTTCGCCACCTCTGTAGAGTGGTCGCATTTCTCATGCACCCTTTCCAAAAAGCAGAAGGGCATTTGCAACTTGGTCTTCTTATATTCTTCAAAGTCTTCGTCGAGTGTGATGGCTTTGGTCACGCAATTTATTTTCTCCATTTAATTAATAATTTATAGGGGAATGAGAACTTGTGATGAAGCCTGAAGGTGGTTAGTGGACCATATAGATCGACTATATATATATATGAAAGTGTTATTGATACTTCAAAATTTTCATTCTACACTTCTCAAAAGTGTATTTTTCTTTCTAGATATAGAAAGTTTGAAGTGTAAAATGAGAATTTTGAAGTGCTAATAACAATTTCCTATATATATATATATATTCATATACAAGAATCAGACACATGTTTTAATATATCGTTCATATGTCATCTATATTATTGATACAATGCAAATAGGATGTTGATATGAGATGCATGTTAATTGGAATCGATAATATTTGATATATTGTTATAGTACGTTTTTAATATGCCTATCAATATGTTTTCGAGTATTCTGGTCCGTAAGCAGTGGATCATAACTATTTTTACAAAAAAAAATAATAATAATTGACAATATAAGAGAATTATATTATGAGCATGTTTACTTAAAAGAAATGGTTAAAGTACGTAAATTAGGAGCTTAAAAAGTAGGAGAAACAAGGAAAGAGAATCAGAGAACTAGTCCTCCTTTGCCGATCTAACTCAGGAGTTTTATATATAGTAAACTAGATTTTAATTCTTAAATAAGATAAAGTTTAGAAAAATATCTTATATAAGATTAAAAATTGATTTTAGTCCCTAGACTCTATTTAATGCCAGCATATTAAATGTCTATTTATAATTTTATGGTGTTCATAAATTAAATTTTATGAAAATATGATAAATTTTAATTCTCATTATGGTAAGTATCTTATATAAAAAAATATTTTCGTAAAGATTTGGTACACATGTTTTTGCATATTTTCTTGTGTGTCACTAATTCATTGTAAGGTTAGTATAATATGTTTAGGTACGAACATTTCGGTACACTAGTTTTTATAATATATTTAGGTACCGACATTTTGGTACACTAGTTTAGTATCATATACTTATGTACGGAATCTTTCGGTACACTTATGTTTTTGCATATTTTCTTATGTGCTACTAATTCACTACAATATATTTAGGTACAGACATTTTGGTACATTAATTTAGTAAAATATATTATGATACGAACGTTTCGATATACTAATTAGAGGAAGTAAAATAAATACAATGAATAAAAATGTGTATAATAATAAATCATTTAAATTTTAATGTAATGACATTAAATAAGATATCTATTAAATATTAAAAACAAAAATATAATATAAATTTGAATTAGGTACATATTAGACGATTAAAATCAATATCCAATTTAACATCAGATTTTTATTGAATTTTAATCTTCTTCAAGAATTAAAGTTCAAAAACACCATAATATATATATAGACACACACATATACATGCATCAAATGCATTAAACCAAATGAAAGGTTCGAAATAAAATAATAAAGCTTAGCACCAAACAAAAGCTTACTAATACATATTGATTGGATAAGTATGAATGGGGATAGCTTGTCAAAGCCCGGCGTTGGATATAACCGGGCCAGAAACAAGGAACCCTAAGTAGTGTCAGACTATTGGTATAATATATACTAGCATATCCGCATACAAATTTTTATTTTTGTTTTTGAAATAGAATGGGAGAGGAAGAGAGTGATAGAGAATCTGAGAAAGGAAAATTGTTTTTTTTTTTTAAGAGATATGTTAGGATTACATGTAGATGAGGCTTTAAAAAAATAGCCAAATTCAGTTGTGTGAAATTACATTTTTACCCCATATTTCTTATTCATGTTCTGTTTTAATTGGAGGATTAAACTGATAATTTCATAGGATTTTGGTTGACAATAAGTGTTTTATTAATTAATAGAGATGAGATGCATGATTTCATGCCAACAAGATCCTCTCAGGATTCTTTTGGTGAGATCTGTGAATTGTATCCATTTATCGTACATCGTGCGATCAGTTTTTATCAAGTAATATTTGTGTTGAATTTTAAATAAAAATATTTAAAATAATTTCTAACTGTACAATATACAATAAACGATCACAAAAATGATCCAACAAGGATCCGGATTCGATTTCATGCACGCAAATTGCAAAAGCTAAATTAATCTCTGAAATTATGGGATTTCGTGAATTAATAATATATAATTAGCAGTAGCCAAGTGAACTCCAAAGGAAGCTTCGATCACCATACAGATTGCTGAGAGACGTGTCGACCTTGTACTCGACGTAAAAAGATGATGTCGCCAATGTCTCGTTATAATTTAATATTTTTGTCTTTAATTAGATCAGTCTTGGTACTTGCTCAGTGCAAAACTTTACAGTTTACAGTTACTCTGCATAGTGGTGTATGTCTCGTGGAATATTTATATCTGGTAGTGCGTTATTCATGCTGTATTAAAAATTTCCGTCTACTGCCGAGTTAATATTAAGAAATTAATATTCAGTATGTCAAATTATGATTTTAGTCTTTGTAATTTTAAATCGCGAGTTAATCTACTTACTTTAGTAATTGTTCAAGTTTACTAATTGTTTGGTTTTATCAAGTTTTTGACATAAAAAGCTCATGGCTGCGAGGTGCAATTTTTTAGACTTATTCACTCATGACTGACATGCTCGTTCGGTTGAAAAAATAACGGATTCAAGTCATTGAGTTGCAACCATTTTTGAGCTTTTTGTTGTAGATTACTTTAGTGAGTAAGTTTCAATAGTTCGGATTACTGGAGAGTCCTATTTTATATCCATTAGATTGACATTTAAAGAAAAATATTATTTATTTAATTTAACCATAACCTTTTATTTTTCATACTACTGAGTATATATAGGCGAAATTATTAAAGAAAAATTATACTTAAGGGAACATGCCTTGACACAAGCCCCAATTTTTTTTAGGGAACTTTAACGAAAAGCACCCGGTACTGTTCACTTTAACGAAAAACCACATTTTTACACTAAAAAGTCAATCCTGGTACTATTTACTTTACCCTTTATTTTGTCCTTATCATTAAAACTCAAAGTTTTCAAGCCCTTTTCATTAGTTTTCTTTTTTTTTTAACATAAGCGATATGGACAGCTATTGAAATAGTTGAAAGGCAATGCCATTTAATTATCATTACTAAGGTATTCAAAGTCAGTAAGCTTTGAAATTGTTGGTTGTTATTTTTAATTTTTTTTTAACAAACGATATTATTCACATTGAAGAAATGGTGGAGATAATATCGATTATTAAAAAACATGATCAAATGGTTACAATTCACAAAATTTTCAAAACCCAGTTAATTATTTATATTCACGGTTTGATTAGGTTCTAAGCAGTTATGCTAACATAAGAACTGGAACCGAACCCGATATGAATAGTTCAGTCCCATTCTTGAACCTTTTGTTCACTTTTTTTGGTCAACGCAGTTTTTTACGTTTTATTTTATCGCGATTCGATTCAGTTTTGTGGTTTCACTTTTTATGTGCCCACCCCTAGATTCGAATTTAAAATTTCTCATTTACAAGTGAAGAAGAATAAGTGATGATGGAGTGTGTTAACCCTAAAGAATATACTAAACCGTAGTACTAAGCGGTGACTATCATTAATATTGCAACAAATAATAACCGAACTGCTATTGAATTCATAAATTTTATAGTTCTTCAAAGTATAAGACTTTTGAATTCATTTAATCTTCTTCAATCAACGAATGAAATTAAGTTTTCAAGTTAGAGATCGTACCGTGACCTTCGTTGATGTGCAACATAACAAGCATTTTCTAAGCGTTCCAGCCATTACCTTTTCCCTTCCTTCTAAACCTAGTCGAGCAGCCTTATGAAAATTATTCTCACAAATTGCTAGGATAGAGGCATAGTTATGTGTTTGGTGACTTGTGTCCCGTTGACGCTCAAGCATATCAACGGTTCACAGTCACTCACACAATGCGGCAATTGTACCTACCACAGTACCATTCGTCATTGGAAAAAGAAAAAGAGAGGTTACCTAGTAAGCTAGAAGCCTAGAACAGATTGGACTCCTCGGTCTTCTTCTGCAGTTGACAGAATTACCAGATGCGGGCCGCACGGCACATTAAGAGGAGAAGAGAGAGAAGTGTGGGAGCCGGCAGCCGCCACTGAACAAAAGTCAAGCAGCCATTGCCGTCGAACAATTTGCGATTTCCTGTACTTGTTTTGGAGACAAAACTAATGAAACATTCCTCTAACTTGTATATATGCATATTGTACACACCATATTTTTATTCCCAAAATACCCCAACGGATAGAGGAAGGCTAGGAGCCTCCCATCTCTGTGGAATGAGGATCTCATATTAGGAATGTTACTCCATCACCCTTAGCTACCAGTCCTCTCCTGTTATTGAAAGAGATGTTTCTTATCTCCTCATCCCAATTCACCAAAACAACCGCAATATGAGGGTACAATTTGTGGACTGTTACCGCTTGTCGAGTAATTGTTTTGGTTTATCTACAATACCTTGATGTAGAGTAGTTGTTGCATGTTGTTGATAATTGCAAGTGTACAATATCGTCCAAGTAATATAGTGATAAGTAGAGTGTCGTTCAAATAAGGATCGGATTTACCTAAATTTACTATTGAGATTGACTTCAAACTAAACTTAAATAAAAGATGGATAACGATGACAAATTCAAATATGCAAAAACCCAAACAAAATTGAAAATATCAATTGAACAAACACGAAGTAAAAGTGAATGAATTATGAAAAATTAATATATTGAAGCACTAGGACATCAGGTTCCTCATTCTCAATCCCATCTAATCCCGTTATTCATATTAAACTCAATTTTTTCCCATGTTGCTAGCAATTATCCTTTGATTCGTCAATATTTCCTTTCAGAATATACTAACTGTGTTTCTAACTATCTACCATTGCTATGTCTAGCCACATAAGTAGATAATCGAATCCCTTTACGCTAAATGGATAATTTCACAATACTACACAAATCATAACCAGTATGTCTACTCAATTATGTAATTCATGGTAATCGTTATGAGAAGCAATCTACTAAACTCAACCTGTCAGTCCCAATTTAGTTCTTCACACAAATAATGGCCAGTTATTTGATAACGATAAAGCACAATAATAATTACTCAACATGGAAAACAACCGAGATCAATATGAAATAATAAGAATTAGATGTTCATGATAAGAGTACACCCTAATCCTAGCAAAAGGACTTAGTTCATGATTAAACTAATCACAAATATGGATGAATTCGATAACATAAAGAAACCCCAAAACCCCAATTCTGGAATCGTATGCGATAAACCCCAAAACTGCCACCTATCCAGCGTTTTTTTCCACTGGAAGGCTGGTCCTTATGGATCTCCCCCCTATTCCCCCCTTTGCGGCTGCTTCTCATCTACTCCCCAGCAATTGGAGAGAAGGGTCGGTTCCGTACATCCCCCGGTTGGACTTTTTTTCTTCTTTTTTTCTTCTATCGCATCCCTCTTGTTCTCTAATCCACATGCCGTTTTTATGAAGCCCAAATTGGACTTAATTTGATAAAGCCCAAATTCCAGCACCACTCTCACATAGCATCAGTCCACTTCGTTATTCTTTCGTGCTTTCCTTGTAATTCTTCTAAAAAATCCAGTTTTCTCCGAAAAAATAACTTCTATAAAATTCACACAAAATACATCAAATCCAACTGTTTTATATCAAACCATGACTAAATTAATAGGTAAAAGAGATACAAAATATACCTATTATATCAACCTAACATTGCACATAAATTTAACGGATATTTTGCATTTAGGGGGAGGCGAAAATCGTAATCTAGTTGTATGGAAACGGTAAAATGCGTCACCTACTAACTTGATATCAAACTCAAAACAACTATAACAAGTTCTTGATCGTCATTTATGTGAGTTGAACTTGAGAATTCTTATTAATATACTGTAGTACTAGTTAGTTATATTATATTAAAAAAATATTGGAAGTGATACTTCTTGTCGCCCATCCACATTGAAACATGTGGAATGTTAACAACGCTCAAGAGGGTGTAGAAAAAAGTTCCTCTGCAATCCGGACGGCAAGTCGATTAGCAAAAGGGAGGGAAACTTTTGGACCCGTACAGAAAAAAAGATGTGGGATGACCTTGCGTGCGGTGCTGTGGTGTATCAGCTCCACTTTAAGAGAAGGGTGGGTGATCGTGTGGTGTGTTCATCTATTTACAAAGAGGACCCAATTCAGCCGAAGCTTGACATATGAAAAGCATTGAACTGTTGAACTGTGAAGGGATGCGAAGCTGAAAACTTGCATAAGTTCATCTCTTTGCTATATACTTGATAGGTATGAAAAATCGCTTAAAAAGCTGAGTCCTTTTTGTTTATTTTTCCTTCACAATTTGTGGGCAATCAATAATTTCTGGATTTAATGGTGATATAGACGCCATTTTTCACAAAGGTTTCCGATTCCATGCCTAATGCCTTGGCTTTTTGCTGCATTGGGGTTGTATTGTTGCGCCCCCCTCCCCCCCCGCCCCTCTCGAAATTTCAATACCCTTTTGGAATTGTAAAACCAAATGGTGCCTCTGGTATTGTTCGAAATTTAGAGTTAGAGTGGTATGATGGCATTGTTCTGTACTGCATTCTAGTCAGTAAAAGTTAATGGATGAGTAGGATACTTACCATGTCCTGTAGTGAAGATTGTTTATATCAAATAGTAATATTTTTCTGTGGAAGCATCAAACTATTTGGCGACTTGGAATTTTCTCTTTACTTACTTGTAATTGGAAAAAAAATAAATAAATAAAGGGTGTCTATAAATGTGGTAATTTGGATTCACAGAAGGATGACTGAGGTTAATTGTGAATTTATAACTCTGCATTCGAGTCAATTAGTAATTACTCAAGGCATCAACAAAGAAATTATTGGCCATAAGACAAACAGAAATGAGATTCCTCTCTTTTGATACTGTATGTACCTTGAACTGGGTGATATCGTAGACCTGAGGTGTCCGGAATGATGTTTGCATCACGAGGAACAGTTTTCAAATTGTGTTAGGATCTAAACTTTTATTAACAAACATCTGAAAATTTATTTGGATTGCTGAGAAATGATTTCGTGTTTTTTTTGGGAAATCGTCTTACTTCCTCAATTTTTTGTAGCTTCAAATTGGTTTCAATCATAGTGACTGCAGTTTCTCACTCTGGTTAGAAAGCTATGGCAGAAATATATCAACTTCGATTTGGCAAAAGTTTAACATCTTTATGGATATTTTGTTTGTTTAGGATTATCATATCAACTTCGATTTTTATGTACAGCTCCAGGCGCATCGATGGGAGAAATCCAAGGTTGCCATCTTTGTGTTCAGTGGAATCTGGCAGTAGTTGCTTCGCATGTAATTTCCTGGTCCAAACTTTTTCAAGACAAATAGTGAATATCAGAATATCACAGTTCATTCTTTTACTCAGTGCTCTCCTTCTCCTGTAATCTCTTGCATAGAAAATGTGCCTCAAAGTTCTAATCTATCACAAATTACGGACGCAAATACAGAACATGGTCAATCAATCTTCTAATAAATCAGCATCATCTGGGGTACTGCAAATGCTTGCTTTTCGTTTTGCAGTTTTACGTGTTTCTTGCAAACTCGGGACTTATTCTCTCTGCACCATTGATATTTGATAATTAATTGTTATACTTATTTTTTCAGTCAGCTCGTTTAATGGAATATTTCCTTGATCATGCTAAAGACAACACAGAGAAGGGTTTAGAAACCTGCAGGATTCTTGGCGCCTTTCTTGTAAGATTCACACTCTGGTTCTAAAAGCATTTTTCTTATTGCATAAGAAACTATCTTCAGATTTCTGGACAGTTTCTTCTGTCTCCGAATCTTGTTTAGTGAAACCCAATATCTCTCAGTTTCTCACCATTTGCAATCTCGAAATCAGTACGGTTGTGATTACTCTGGTCTTTTAGTCCATATGTACACATTCAAAATGTTATAAACGATCAAGAAGCTTTTGCCATACAAAACGAACAGTCACCTTTTCCGGTTGGATGGATCCTTGTAGGTCATAATTATCTATTCTTCTGCTGCTTGCTTCCTCCTGTATCACTCTACACTTGACAGATTCTTGTTCACTTTGTTAACCATTTGTTTTCAGAGTCTCAGACACATCTTTCTCAAAGTTGTTTCATATCATCAGTGGATTGCCACACTCATTCTTCATATCAGGTACGGAACAGCCTCCGTTCTTTAGCTGCAAAATTTAATAGTCTCAGAATTTTAATTGGATTTCAAAATTAAGCATGCATAGGTTAGAAGAACTTAAAAATAAGATGCAGTAACATTATGAACTTCATACCATTTCCCATGTTGGCTTGTTCCGAATTACTCAGTTGCCTTCTTCGGTGTGGTTTTGTCTGCTTCGATTAGGAACCATGGGCAGCATTTTTATCTGGTTCCCCCGGTATGCTGTCCTCAGCGAAGTCCTATAACATTTCTCTTTCCAACTTTTATCTTCAGGTTATGATACCTGAGGCTTTTGCCATTGTCACGACTCCAACTGATACCTCAAGGTATGCAGCAACACTAAATACAAAGTTCAGTCGTTATGCTTTAAACAAAATTTGGCAATTTCATCGTCGTAGTGTTAGATTCAAAAGTCTTAAATGCTCAATCTCCTTCCATCTATATTTCGGCTCACAAGCTTTAGATGCTGTCTTTCATTCCCTTGGTGTTGTCCTTGCCTCTGTTCTTGTAGCATCTTCGATCTTCGACAACAATGGAAGCACCCTTGGTTGTGGCCATTAGTCTTTGCTATGCACGGCCATGCCACTCTGATGTTTTGACATTGACATAACAATTTCGGTCAGTTGGTGCAAAAGGGAATGAAGGGGAGAATGCAGTAATTTGGGAACGTATCTTCTCTGTTCACCAGTTTCCCCTTGAAAATTTGACCACTACGCCGAGCCGTCGCGTTGGTAGCGAAATAAGAATTCTATTGCAAAACTAATTACGTATGCCAGTTGGATATGCAACTGCATCTGCACGACACCTTCCCGGAAAGAGAACGACGCTGCAGTTAAAACACATAGCTATGTTGTTATGTACGAGGAATTTTAGCCATTCAAAAGCTTATTGATCAATGTTTAAATATTAGAATTTATGTTCTTAATCTTTGGTTTTACTCAAATTCTATGTAAGGGCTTACATCAAAAGCTTCGCCTTCGTGGATCATCATCATTTGCCAACTTATTCAAATTTCTAGCAAAATCCCCGTACTTTTTACTTTGTTTCGATTTAAGACAATTTGACATGTTTCAAAAAGTTAAGAAAGCTCAAAATCAAATTGAAAGTTGCGATGCAAATCTAAAGAAGATGATTAAGTTAAGGACGCGTTGTTACTTTTGGAATTGGTTCCTCTCCGAGGGAAAGCCTCGGGATCCTCCTGATCGGACAACAAAGGCTGTTGAATTTTGATCCAACGACTACAATTATTATAACTTTTAGAAGAATTCTTGTTTGTAGCAGTTAGATCAAAATCTAACGGTCCATATTGTCCGGTCAAGAGGATCCCGAGGCATTGCCCCGGAGAGGATCCAATTCCGTTACTTTTCTCTATATACTGAACACAATCAAACGGTGTTTGACAAAAAAAGAAAAAAAAAACAAAAAACAAAACAAACGATGAACCCATTTAGAATTTTTCTTTCATTCTTAAACATTTAAACAAAATAAAAATAAGAATATGTTAATGATTTCTTTATTATTCTTGTACATTTGGGGAAAAAAAATATTCTCATTTAAATACTTATATATAATTGTGGTTTCCTAATAATATCAACAAGCCTGAAATGGAATAGTCCATTTTTCCCAATACAAAGACCATTCTCTCCGTCGCCAATAATTTACAGAAATTAATTAAACAAATAAAAAAACCCTAAAAAAGTAAACAAAAATAAATAAAGAAATAATTAAATGACCGTTGATCCCCTCAAAACGGATGGACGTTTCTGCTCAATCCGTTCACATTTGTGAAGAACCCAACCACCGGTCGATACGGCAAGTACGACCGCCGTTTGTCCCCCTCCTTCTTCTCTCTGTTCTTCACGTAATGCTTCTCGTGCGCAGACGACACCGTTTCGACTTTCTTAGCCTTCCCCTTTAACTTCTCCACCGTCTTTTGAATCTTAACGCTGCTCTTCTCATCCGCCGCCGATTCATGGCTCGGCTTCGGGCTCGCCGCGGACTTAGGTTTAAGGAAAACAAATGCGTCCTTTCCGTCGCTGTTGCTCCGGAGCTTCAAGTCCCTGACTCTCCACAGCTTCGAGGACCCCGTGGAATTGCTCTTGTTCCGGAGCTCCACCGGCTTCCCGGACCACTCACAGTACGTTCCTTCCGGGACTGCTTCGAGCTCGTCCGACTCGGACGCCGACGACGACGGCGTGTCCCGTTCCTCGAAGAAGAGCTTCATCAATGGCGGCCGCAGAGACGAGGACGAAGCCGCTCCGGCTCTTGAAGCATCGCCGTCGTCAGCGTCGGCGAAGAGGAGATCTCGGTTGAAAATCGGATATACCGGCCGGAAGTGGCCGTTCTGGAATATATCCTCCGCGGAAATCGGCGACCCGTCGGCGTTCGTAGGGGCGAAAGAGAAATCGTCGTCGTTTTCGCTCTCGCATTCGCCGCCACCGTCCACGATTTGAGCTTCTTTATCTTCCATTCCTGGCTTCTCAGCGTCCACGAATTCGAAATCGCCGCCGGAACCGGCGACTTGGAGCTTGGAGCTGAAATTCGCAGAGAGCTGCGCGTACTCGACTTCGAAATCGTTCATGGAACCGTGGGATTCGAAGCTCGGCGACACGGGAAACACGGAAACCGCTTGCATTTCCAGTTTTGTTGGATCGAGAAGTTGGGGTTGGGGTTTTTGAGGTTGAGAGAGAGAGAGAGGGGCAGCGGGTGTAATTAAGAAAGGTATTAAAGATTTGGGTAATTAATGATGGAAGAGAAATGAAGTGGGGTTGGCTTATATATAAGAGGCGGGGCAGTATTGGTGGGTGGACCCACCAAATATGGGTAGGTTTATAGGTCGCTGGGAGGCTTCGGATTCACACGGGACACGTGTTCATACCACGCGGATGATGTTGGAGGCAGCCATTTGTGAATTTGGTGGAATCTAGGGAAAAGGGATAGTGCTGTTGTAAGTTTCAAGTGAACATTAATTTGTAAGGTATCAGAGATTTTCGTAGCGTTATTTTTTTTTTTGAAAATGGATTCTTGTTGATTACGTTTTTTAAGTATTATTTGTATTTAATTTTAAATTTTAAATTTTAAATAAATTTTTATCATATAATATACGATAAATGATTACGATCATGAAATTTCTGGAATCCGGATCATTCTCCTTTCTTTTTGTTGGGGATGGGGTTGACATGCGTGGGGAAGAAGAACGAAAATTCAAAGAGGTGGATGGTGGGGTGGGCTGTGGAGGATTGGATATTAAAAAGAGTTGGGTGGGGTAGCAGGAGGAAGGGACACGTCATGGGTGAAGTAATGAATGCTAATGTGATTGGGGCTGTGACTTGCTTGGCAATTCCGGGATCTTACCTTCATCTCCTTACCAAACAACAACAAAATAATAGTATTTCAAAAAAAAAAAAAACAACAACAACAACAAAATAATACTATTTTTTTGCTTTTTTGGCTTTTGGTTTTTTGAGTAATTGAGAAAAAGAAAAATATATTTGGTACGATTCGTTGGTGTAGCTGGAACTTGGGCAGAAAGTTTTCTGGGGAATGAAAAGTGGAAAAGTCCAAATTTGTGAGATGGTTGAAAAAAGCGAAAAGTAAAAGCCGGTTTATGAATCTGCCAAAATCTGACCTGATATTTTCCATCCATCTTCAACATGAATACATAATTAACAATGGTATTAACTTAATTACATCGAGTGGTTCAATGGTAAAGATGCGAATTCCGGTTTTAAAAAGATGTTTTAGATTCGAGACTCCAAGCTGATGAGTCTGCTATAAAATACCTGCATCATTTCACCTACATCTCATTTGCTTCAACATATTGAGTACCAGTTACACCACTAACATGGTGTATCGGTACTCTATATTTGTTTTCTTTTTTCCCTTATTAAAAGCTAGCTCTTATACAATTAAAAAAAAACATTGTGCTTTGAATATTTTACAATGCACCTTAGTTTATGTGTTCGCCTTGACAATGAGACAAAAACATTTGCATTTACATTTATATTGGTTGGGTACGTGTAAGAATACATGGTCGTCACCTAAATAATAAGCATGGTTTATAGATATGTATTGCAATAAATGATACGTATATAAATAATGGAGGCGAATCTGTGACACTACTTTTTTTAAAGAACTTTTACACACATTTTGTTTGAGGCTTACTTCGTAATATATTTCTACAACCCAAATTGTATATCTTTTAGGTATACCCTAAAAAATCATGTCTACCAAAATCATCTAAATTTGAAACCATATGACCGCTAAATTAAGGGTTTAGGGTTTCTTTGTGAAACCTTATTCGTTCATTTTCTTCATTAAAGATAAAAGTCTAAATGGTTTTGGATTTGTCTAATTTTTTGTAAAGATGATCTATGAATGATGTTCTAAAAGAGATTGTTTGGATCGTTAAAATACATTACGGTATGAGTCCCACAATAACTCGTGTAAAAAATTATATAATAAACAGATCTGAACCCATAGAGAATAATTCAACTTTTATTTAATTTTTTACATCATGAAAGTGGTTCTTAATTACATGAGTCCGAATCAATACATGTATTTGGATTAGAAGAAGGGGGGGAGGTGGTGGTGAACGTACGTCATGCATGAATGATCAGTTTCTTGATTCTACGTAACCCTCACATTCTTCTGGAATTTCAGTCCTCATCATATAAAAATGAAGGCGTCACGACTTACCATCTCTACCACGTGAGATATCGACTAAAAAATAATAGTATGAAATTCTAATCTTTCTAGATGCCCACTAGCTTATAATTATCCACTCCTCATCCCTTATGGATTAAGGTTTTTTAAGGGTTTCTGACTTTCCGGTCACGAGAGGGCTTCATAGTATAGGTCAAAACCCCTCTTCTTCTCATCTTAAGCTTTGACAAACAATATACAGCTTTTTTTGGGGTTGCTTAATTTTTTTTATTTTTTTTAATAAGCAATTTCTTAAAAAAGTTGCCTTAATTTTGTTTGGTAAATTAAATTTTTTTTTTTTTTTTTTTTTTTGTCAAACGATGAGCCAAAAACAGCAGAAAGCAGAAGGAGCTTTACACATGCTTCACAAAAAAACTTTTTCTTTTAATTGGAGGCAAGTAAACAATACCAATTAATGAAAATTTCATATTGACAATTATGCCCCTATCTTTTTTTTTTGGCTAAAAGAACTTTTAGCAGTATAGTTTACCAAATATTTACCTGCTTTTTTTTTTTTTTTTTTTTTAAATCTATTAACTATCACATTACAACAAAAGCAGTTTTGAATAAAAACACAACAATTCCAAATTGGCCTCTAGTCTTTTTATAACGGATCAACACATCAACAACAAAATTATGCCGTCGTAATTAATTTAACCGAAACTAAATAAATATCGAATTCATCACGCACACAAATATATATGTTATATATCCTCGCATTCATAAGAGTTGAATAATACTCCACAATATTGTTATTTGGTCATACAACTCACTAAGCACATAATTAATGGTGTACTAAGTTATTAACAGATAAAATATACAAGTTTGGACCGACTGGGTCAATTCCTTAATCCTTGATGTGCAAGAGACTTGTGACCCAGGCAACAAACCCCCTCGACCAATCCGACATTGTGGACTGGTGGATGCTCGTTTACTATTTCGAAGGTCGTACCGAAGCACATACAGCTCACACAACACAAAACACAAACTTATCACAACTTGATGTGTGATTAGATAGGTCCCATTTGGTCCAAGTTTTGGCGCAGCAAAGCAGAATCCAACCATAGCAGTTTTTGGGATGAAAAAAAGAAGGTTCCAATATCCATGGAAAAATTGACTTTACGTGGGTCAATCATTCATCACATCTTTTACTAGCAGTACACGCCCACAAAAAGAAGATAAAAATAATAAAAAATTGTTCATCTTGTTTCAACGAAAGCAAATGAACTAATTGAGTAGTTGCAAATTGTCAAGGAAAATTAGAAACAAGTTAGGCTATATGCCAAACTTCCATCTAGAAAATGTTTACTAGAAATTAAGTTATTAGGTCACTAAGCTTGGTTTCATACTTTCATTTAGCGATTATGTACTATATATAAGTCTATTGATATTTATTTATTTATTTATTTATTTATTTTTAACTTGAAAGAGTTTTTATAGTCAGATCTCTTAACTATTGTCCTCATCGTACTCCAACCATATATCTACTAATATATATGTCAGGTAATTTGCTGGACGAGAACATATTTCACACCTAGGTTTAAAGTCCATTTCTTACGATAATTTTATTTGGTGGTCTAATGGTGAAGCTAGGAATTTTTTAGTAGGTGGGCTATAGCTTAAAAATTTCCATCTTTATAAACAAAGGAACTTGGTACTATATTTTTCATAGTATCAGCTAACTTAAGAAAATTTTCACAAAGTGAGCCAAGAATTTTTCGTTATTAAAAAATACGTGGTAAAATTCAAACAAATCCAAACTTGAAACATATATGTACAAAAAGCAATGAGAAAAAGGATGTAAGAAAAACATATGGTTTGTAAACTATTATATAATTTTATATATAATTAAATTGAGAGAACTAAGATTAGTAACTAAATATATGGTCGGCCACATTTAAAAATCAATGAAAATATATGTAAAATTTTATTTTTTCACCTAAAATTACATGGGCTATACCCCACGGTATCCTTTAATGTGGCTTCGCTAGTGATCTGGTCATATAAAACTAGTCACATTATTGACTGCATATAAATTCATTATTATCTGTGAGAGTCATATGTATTAAGAAGGTGATTAACAATGTAACTAATTGTCTTTTTAGCCAAAATGGTATTTGAGATTGACATAACACTTCACTTTGGTCAATGAGATTTAAAATCAATAGAAGTTGTTCTTGAGTTTGTCCATCATCAATCAGTTTGGTCATTCTATGAAATCTCAAGGACCAAAGTGAGGAGTTATACCAATCTCAAGAATCATTTTGGATAAAAAGCCAAATTAATTTTGTGCATCTAAATATAATTACATAAGCACTTAAACCAAAACAGGCTATAAAATTTTACCAAAAAAAAAAGGCAATAAAATTGGGCTGAGTAAATGAAAGACGGGCCCAATAAGACAAATCAATTTTGGGCCAAATAATCAAGAAATCGCAGGTGGGGGGAAGGCCTAAACAAAACCATTACGCTCGCACTTCCCCATTTCTGTTGACAATTTATTTATTGTTTTTCTTTGAGGTGATTTATTTATACGGTATATTGTTTTGCAAACAAATATTTTTTTCAATACAATGGTATATTTATTTGACAAAAGAATACAATAATATATTTATAAAAATATTTGAACTAAGTGGCACAATAAACTTGTCAAATGATGTAATACCTGCAAGTTGTGAATAATCTCATACTTAGAATTTTTTGTTCCAACTCACTGGGTTACGAGTTTAACCACTCAATTTTCTTCTTAATATTAATAAAAAATTAATGTAAAATCTGAACTAAATTACACAATAAACCATCTTCTGTGATAAATCATCTTCTCTCCCTCTAAATTTTATATTGATTGAATAATTGTTTGGTTTTTGGGGATATTCATGAAGCAATGGCACTGCTGTGATAATTCTTATTGATGTTTCCCTTCAGGACACTTCGAACGGCTTCACCATCCCTTCTGTAATTGGTACATCAGCTTCCATTATTCCTGCACTCCATTGTATTTTGCAGAAACACACCATGCAAAAGGTGCACATTGAATCTCATGTGTACGGCTTCTGCAACAGAGGAGTCTTAGAATCCCATGTGATTAGTATTCAACAAAGGCGTGCGAGATTTCTTCTATTGTTTCCAAGAAGCATGCTCCGTTCAATAATCTAATCTTATTTCGACATCCTTGTTTGATGCTCTTATCAGAATTGACAAACTTGTCGAAGTGTTGCGGATACGGAGAACGAAGAATGCCAAGGTTTGTACCCGTTACCGGACTTCTCCTGGTTGTCAGCGCGCACCCCTCTGTTAATATGCTTTTCCGATACTCTGTGATGAAACCGGTGTTCCCAAATTTCAATAATAACAGCGTGCGAAGATGTTTAAAGACCTAATCATCGTTGTAATTGATAAAGAGTAGGAGTTTGTCTCAGCAACACAAAATGAGGGTTTCGGTCGTTATATATAGGACTTGACCAGACATCCCACGGCACGAGCTGACGACAATCACGGGGTATATTGGCAGTCTAATTTTCATGAACACGCTAAATTTGCGAGTGCTTAGTCATTGTAATAATAAAAAGTCATTTGTATACTAATCTTCTGTTCTTAATTGGTTTGTACTTTTTACATCTCCTTTCTCTTCCTTCCTGTGAAAGGCAACGGATTTCTCATATTATTTTTTAAATTGATAGCATTTAAAAGTAAGACTTTGAAAACTTTGAGTTTTAAGGATAAGAACAAAATAAAAGGTAAAGTGAATAGTACCATGATTGACTTTTTAGTGTATAAATGTGGTTTTTCGTTAAAATGAACAGTATCGAAAACTTTTCATTAAAGTTTTTATATTAATATTTAAAAGTCGACTTTAAATTATAGAATAAATATATATTAAAAAAAGTTCCACAAAGTGAATTGCTTGGGCCATAGACCCTAGAGGGGGTTATTGAGCTTGCTGATCAAGCAACTCAGGCGGCCAAAGCCGAAAAAACGGTCACGTTGTCATTCACACTGCTGAATAGAAACCCAAGTTGCACTCTCTACGCATATTGCCAATTCAAAGTCGGTCACAGCTACATATGAAGAAACAACCAGAAACCACCATTTTTGAGAACCAATCTGTATATTTCGATTTCGATTTCGTTACACTGCATATCAATGGGAATTGATACAATGAAGCAAACAAAAACCTTTGGTTGACTGTCTGTCTAAATCGTCTCTAAATCTGTGTATCCGAAAGTAAGGCCCTAAGGATTGCTCACCAAACAACGTTATGCATTTGCCCTGGCACCAATCTGCCTCTTGACAGATTTGATCACTCCAATCAACAGCCTGTCACCGGCAATCTGCCTCACCCTCTGTATCAGCTGCGGGCGCGTTACCTTGTTCGCCTGCAAAATCAATCGAAAAGTTCGAAATGAAGTGATCATGCTGTCATGATTGATGAAGATTAAACATGAGAAACAGAAAATGTCATAGAACTTACTCTGAATTCATTGTGACAAGCAACAAGCAATTGCATTTTCTGAGGAGGCAAGAACTTCGAGAGAATGGACATCAGAGCAGGGAAGCTCATCCATGGAGATGTGGGGGGTTGTCTCAAAGCACTCTGCTGCGCAGTTGGAACACCTGAAACAACTGAACATACAAAAGCAGGGTTAAATCTCATTTCGAAAACCCGAAATCTCCACCAAACAACCAAACAAAGAACACAAACCAAATTACCAATTCGAATTTCGAATTGAGCTACTAACCATTAGGGAGAGTGTTAGGAGCCTTGAAGCTGACTACATAGCAAGGATAAATGTGAGAGTTCATGATAGCACTCCAAACAACATATCTTCTCGGATTTACCAGATTATCCACTCCAGTGTCCACCTCCTTGCAGCTCGGTTGAGATTGCTTAGAGCCCGGCGCCACCATTTCCGCCTTCCCCAATATCACACGGCACAGCAAGATGTGCTTCAGCCCACTTTCATCCACAGCCGACGACAATGCTCTACACAAATGTCAATACAATCCATCAAATTTTCGATAAAAATGGAAGGTTTCGATTTTAAAGATGTGAATTTCTCAAAGATCAAACAGAAACAAGAGTTGGGTACAAATCAAAATCCCCTGAAAATCAAAAAATTACCCATCACATGTAAATTTGGCAGGAATCATATGAACACCGACACCGTATGACACTTCATTTGGGACAGGCTCTCTGCACCGATTGAAACCATGGACCAAAACATCACAAAGCTCCTGCTTCGATCCGCCATACCAAGCGTACTTAACATTGGCGTTGCCGCCGCACTTACTTGCCACCGCCTGAGAGAAAATCTTGAACGACTCAAACCTCGCCTTCCTGGTCGGATCGGAGCTCAAGTTCTTGTGCACCGCCACAATATTCGTGTCCCTCCCGGCCAATCCCATGCCCGAAACAAAGCTCTTCTTGATGATCTCGTGCTCTAAACTCTCGTCATCCACCCGTATCATCCCGCTCCGGGTGAAAACACCAAACCGATCCGATACGGCGGCGTTCGAATCGCCGCAATCGGACCCGGAATCCAAAATTTCTTCGTCATTATCAATAGTCATCGAGATTTGGTCTTCGAATTCAAACTGATCCGTCGACATCGCTCCTACAAACTTACGAATTAAGCGATCGGATCAGCGAGAAATCGAAAGACAAATCGAAAGACAAATAACTACAAACAACTCTGTATACAAAAATTTTCAAAAAAAATTCATATATCAAAGAAGCAAGAAACGGTTCAAGATCTCAGAATCCGGGACCAAATAGATCAGGGAAGATTAAATCTTGGAGATATTTATAGGAGATTTGTGGCGATTTAGAGTTTTGATTTATGGCGGAGTTGCCGTGCCGCCGTGTATAAATAGTCTCGGACCCTGAGGCGGTGGGAACTTTTCGTAGCCCTTGGGAATTAAGAATTTTGAACTTTATGCATTGTCTATTTTGCCCCTCTGCAGATTATGCAAGCCGCCCGAGAAGTGACCGTTGTGCGTGCCGTTGGAGGGGTATTTCAGGAATATGGGGGGGATAGGTGGGAGGGTGGTTTGGTAATTTTCCGAATTTAACGCAAGTCATGCAGGACGTGGCTTTTGTCGTCCGCTTTACTTTCGAAGCAAGTTTTCCTGCTCAGATTTGGATTTAGGCTTCCTAATTGCGTAAGGAAATATTTAATAAAATAAATAAATAAATAAAGATAAAGGTGAATTAAATTCGATTGGGCCCAGGACATGCATTATTTATGGGTGGGTCCATGGTCCAATTGGGACGTGGGCTTGTGGAGTTGCTTGAATTCGGTGCACGTGGGTACCTCAATTACAGAATATGTATTGTCGTGTGCACGTGACATGTCTTCATCTTTTCTTTGGTTCCAAGCAACAAGGGTTTTAAATTGCATATGGTATTTTTGTGCTATTTGAGGTAAAAGGACTCCCTGAGTGAATTGACTTTAAAAAATTCTTATTAAATCGCTTAAGTAGTGCAGTGTTTTAGAGGTCAAATTGTTAATGGTAGTAAGAACACATCAACTATCAAATTATAAAAGAAAATCACCTGTTCACAATTCATGTCGGATGTAGTTAGGTCTTTAAGAGTTTTTCGTAATCTTCAAAGCGGTGTTTAAGTGTTACGACATGATGCACATTTAGATTGCTAAACACAATCTTCCCCAAATTCGCCCATTGTTCTACAAGTTCTACTTGGCAATATGCCCATAACAGAGCCGATCTTTAGGGAGTACAGATTGACACCGGATAATGGAGATCAAAGAGAAACTATAGCTGAACACTCAAATACAACTCATCACTCTAAGGAATCCACCAAAGAGATAAGAGTTTAGGGAAAGGAGAATGATTCATTTCTGTACATGAATAAGGGTTTTAAATAGTCTAGGCATTGAACAACCTTCCATGAATAGGTTAACCTTATTAATGATCATACATAACCATGACTTAAAACTATGCATGAACTGATTTAATACTAATCGTGAACATTGAACAAACTTTTAATTAAATATAATGAAAGCACCATCTAATAATTAGACGAATCTAGATTCGGTGCCAGTGGTGTCATTGCACAGGACCCTCAAATCGGAAGGGCCCTCGATTTTTCATTTTTGCATGCATATATGTATATATTTGAATGTGTAGCTAGTTTACAAATTGAGTTGTTAGCGCAGGTGGCTCTTTGGATAGTAACCATTCACAACTGCAATCTTATAACAACATTATCTTCCCTCACTTAGCAAAACGAAGAAGAAAAAACACCATCTTTCCTAAAAAAAGGTAATATATTAACTACTTTTCTAACAATTATTGAAGGAAGAATCCTTAAAGAAACTGCCAGCTCGTCATATTGGCCCCATCTGGACGGGGACGACGGGCGGGGTGTGGCAACAAACACATTCACCACCACGACCCCGATACGGGTCCTGCTCGATCCGACTGGCACGACTTGGGGGTGACACAAAAGCATTACCCACCATCCCGTTTAGGTTGCGCGGTAACCCGACATTCAAGGAGGAGCAACGCCTCAAAAATAAGAGACAGCGACAGTTGGGTTTTAACCAACCCAAAATAACAGCAACCAAAATTTAGAGATATAATCAAAACACACATAGGAAAACAAAACCTTACTAAGAAAAACGAAGGGAGAATTTTTCGGGATTGTTTTATGTTTTTTTTCTAAATCATTTCTTTATTTTTAATTTTGTTGTTTTGGGTGGCATTTGGTGGTGGTGTGGGTGGCCTTGAATGATTTTCACTTCTCACACAACCACCCCCTTCGTCTGTATAGTCTCTGGAATTCCCATCTCTTCCTCAAAAGCGACGAAACGCGAGCTCGATCGCGTGATTAATTTCTTCGATAAGGAGCTAGATTTTTGTTTCTACGTAAGTACGTGCATGGTCGCTTGCATGCAGACGGAGTTACGGCCGTCTGTACGTACGTGAAGTTTGTACGTAGCTGCTGCTGCTGCTGCGTCCATGCAAACTTATCCAACGTAAAAGTTGAATTATTGCATGTACAGGTTCTTGTCGCTTTTTTTTTCCATATTTTTTTAGTATTGTTTGAAACCCTTGCCCGGATTACGTATGATTATTGGTTAATTTCATTGGATTGGATGAAAGGGGTTTCGTTAATTAATCCTGTATTAAACTAATTAATCACAGGGAATATTGGGAAGGAGGAAACTTTGATAGAAAGGAAAAGGAAGAGTGGTTACCGGTTAAAGGAAGGAGAATTATGTCGGAATCAAACGAGCATGACTCTAATCCTCCTGGCCCAGATTCACCACCCCATGACTCAAACGCACCATCGCCGCCCCACGAGAGTACCGAGGACAAATCAACACCGTCAAACTCACCACCCCATGACTCAATCACACCATCGCCACCTCCGCCATCACAAGCGCCACCTCCGAAATCAGAGCCTCCGCCTCCAAAATCAGACTCACCTGCCCCAAAATCTTCACCATCCCCCGAACCTTCGCCGCCACCAGCATCTCCACCGCCATCATCACCTCCACCATCATCACCATCTCCGTCTTCTCCACCCCCATCTTCACCACCGCCTTCATCATCACCACCAAAATCACCTTCTCCTCCTCCTCGTTCACCACCACCATCATCATCAAAAGACAAACCAACATCCGGATCATCACCACCTTCTCCTCCAGCTTCACCATCTCCTCCTAGTATTACTGATGGCAATAGTCCTAAACCATCCTCTGGCGACAGTTCATCACCTACATCACCACCAACTGATTCATCACAAGATGATAAAGGCTCCCCATCCTCACCCAGTGTCTCTCAGTCCCCTCCAGCCTCTCCACCTCCAGCTACACCTACAACCAACCCCACCGCCCCATCTCCTCCTACAGTGCCTAGCGCTCCAGTGGTTCCGGGTTCAGGAGCTACTACAACTCAGCCTGTCCCTCGCCCTGATAATTCCACCCCCACCCTCTCCCCTCCCTCAACGAGAAGTCAGGTTACAGGCGACTCAGGGGGTAGTAGTAGGCATACAGGTACTGTTGTGGGCTTGACGGTAGCTGGAGTTTTCATCATTGCCTTGGTAGCCCTCATTGTTGTGTTTGTAAGGAAGAGAAAGAAGCAGGCCCAACCATACCCTCCAAATTACATGCCTCCCACTCCCGGTCCCCATGGCGGTAACTTATCAACTCCAGGTAAAGATTGTCCTTATACATTGTTGACTCATATCCTGACAACTTGAACTTTTAAAATTTATGTGCATGTCAAAGAAAATTTGATAATAGCCACTAATATTAGTTGCACAGGATGAGGTGGCTATAATGCTTATCACTGGCTTATGTAGTATCATAGTCAATGATAAGCATTTACACACTTTATTCTTATTCTGTAATGACATTATAAAGATCATATTATGCTGGCTAATACCGTATTAGTTATGTCAGTTTTTCTTGTAGCGGTGGTGGTCTAACATAAACATAATATAAAGTGTACTTATGAGCTCAATAATTGAGCTTTGTATGTGATGCAGGTGGATATTATCATGCGCAGCAACAGAGTTCCGCAACTTCTGGTCCAACAGAAAGCTTTTATTCGAGTGGACCGGCCGGACCTTCCTCCTATGAAAACAGCTACCAAGGTAATCCGCCCAGTTCTGGAGATTCCGGTCTTATTGCTGCTACCAAGGTTCATTTCACCTACGAAGAGTTGATGGAGATAACGAATGGATTTTCACGTCAAAACGTTATCGGTGAGGGTGGTTTCGGATGTGTGTACAAGGGTTGGATGCCGGATGGAAGAGTTGTGGCAGTCAAGCAGCTCAAGGCTGGTAGCGGGCAGGGAGAGAAGGAATTCAGGGCTGAAGTTGAGATTATTAGTCGCGTGCATCATCGTTACTTGGTCTCTTTGGTGGGATACTGCATCTTTGAACAGCAAAGATTGCTTATCTATGAATTTGTTCCTAATAAAACTCTTGAGCACCATTTGCATGGTAGGTGATCTAATCTAATTAACCTCTTCTTTTGATGTTCTTAGTTGTACTTCTCAATATTCAGCTACTTGTTATTGTACTTCAAACTGTTGATTTGTTATTCAGGTGCCGGAATGCCGGTGTTGGAATGGACCAAGAGACTCAAGATTGCTTTGGGGTCTGCAAAAGGCTTGGCGTATTTACACGAAGACTGTACGTACCCATATACATCTTTGTGACTTTGTGTTATGAGATCCGATAATAGTCACTGAAATTAGTCGTACATAATGGAGTGGGGTTAAAAGACATATCAGTGGCTAATAACGCCATTAGCTACAGATTTGCCATTTACGCACCTCATCAGCCACTTATAGGCCTTTTGCTCACTCCCTCAGTGGCTATTGTCAGCGCTTTCCATCGAACTATCTGATTCTATGTATTCTCCTTGTATATATGTTTATAGGCCATCCAAAGATTATTCACAGAGACATTAAATCGGCAAACATTCTGCTGGATGATGCCTTTGAAGCACAGGTATGTCTATACCTGTTCAATTCATGTTGTACTGATTCCTTCCGATGCTACGGCTATCCCATGATTTTGTGTTTCTGACATTGAGGCTCTAGTTTCTAATTCTTGAATATCTTCGTACACAGGTTGCAGACTTTGGGCTTGCCAAACTTACAGACGGCACCAATACTCACGTATCCACTCGAGTCATGGGAACATTTGGGTAAGCAAAGACCTTGTAAACTCCTTTGGAACTATTGCCTGACGACCGTATTGCTTATCGACGACACTCGTGGCATTTTTGTTCAATTTGGTTTCAGGTACATGGCACCTGAGTATGCAAATAGTGGCAAATTGACAGACAGATCAGATGTGTTTTCGTTCGGAGTTGTGCTTCTAGAACTTGTAACCGGGCGGAAACCCGTTGATCCTACTCGACCTTTAGGGGATGAGAGTTTGGTTGAATGGGT